TCAAAGATACCTATCTCACATTTATCTCAACATATTATGTTATGAACAGTGTCACCTCAAAGGTGGGAAGTAGAGGAATAATATATACTTCATGTAAATCCTGAATTGTTTTCAGTTTTTGCATTAACCAGATATTGCTTATATCTAAGATTGTGTTAGCTCAAAGTAGCAATGGTTTCAACAAGATAGAAATGTAGGTCTCTTAATAAAAAAGAAAAAGAAAAAGAAAGAAATGTAGGTGTCTTGCAAGTCAAGGCCAGTATGACACTTTGAAGTCTTCATGAACCTAGATTCCTCCTATATTTTGCTCCACTTTCCTCATATTGGCTTCCATCCTCTAGATATCCTCATGATTCAGGGTGATTGCTAGAGCTTTAGCCATCCCATCTGAGTTCCCAGTAACTGGTTAAAAAGGAGGGGCAAAAGAGAGGGATGCGCCCCAGCTAAATCTGCTCCGTTTCACAGTCCTTTTCGTAAACCCTACCCAACAGCACTTCTGATTATAGTCTCGTTGGCAGAACTCAAGTGGACACATCTTACTTTGAGAAAGGCTGTATATATAGTGTGGTCTTTTACCTGGGAGCAGCACTGTCTTTAAGGAAATTAGGGTGGTATTACAAAAGAAGAAAGGGAGGATACATGTTGGGTAGGCATCTAGTAGATTCTGTCATAGAAATTTTTCAACAGGCTGAACTATAATTTCTGTTATGGGTGCATACACATACACCTATGATGTTTATTGTATATCCCTATTTCATGTACTTACACTTTTAAATTGGATTCCCTGTAAGATTTTTAGAATTTATGCTGTTCAGGCTGCTTATTAAATCATGGGTTTGGCTTTATTATTATCCAGGATATGTCATTATAAAGTAATTATTTCCTCAATTGTCATGAATATTGCTTCAAGGTCTTTGGAGATAGATAGTACTGTTGAAGTCACAGTTGCATTGCTTATTGGCTATATTCTATATGTGGCCCCATTGTTCTTTGTGCACATTCCATTTTTGTATATTTCATACTGCATTGCAGTTTGAGATTTCCAGGCAAGTAAAGCCCAAATGTGAGCTCCTTGAAGAGAGAACTATCTTATTCAGAGGGAGTACTTAGTAGTGATTATTGAATATGTAAATGAAAATTCTGCTGTCGAGGACATGCATAGAATGTACCTAAAGTGTTGCAAGCTATTTCAAAAGGAGAGTTAGAAATACATTTTTTTTATATATAATAGGAGTATTGCTGGAATTAACATATGGTTCTCCCAAGGAGATAGTGCCTAATTCCTTTACATATAAAATGTATATTAACTTACTTCACTGGGATGTTTTAAGGAGTCAGTAAATCAATATTTGTAAAAGCAAGTGTCTGGTAATATGTAATTACTGATAGTTGTAGGAAAACCAATTTTATATTCTCCAAACTCACACCTCTTCTCCTGTCTCAGATTTCTAATTGTTTGATGTGTGCTAATTTTGCTTTCTCAAGTATGTTTTATAAAAGCCATTTCTTTAAACTTGTTCTTTACCCTTAACCCAGTAATGTGATTTTCAGTTATATAGTCAATACATTAACTTCATATAAAATCAAGAAAGAAGGAAAAGACAATATCTTGAAATTCACTAGCAGTTATGCAGAGATTGATGGTGAAAAAAATTACCATCTATGTGATTTTAGAAAGCACGTGCTTATTAAATGGGATCAGGGAATGTTACAGAGTAAAGAAAGTTAATATTTCAAAGGGAAGAAAAGAAGCCTAAGGACCAGAGAAGTATGGAGTGGAATAGGAGACATGGTGTTATAAAAACAGAGAGGTTAAAGGGTTAGAAGAGAAAACAGCGATTGAAGAAGCTCTTTAAGGCGTTCAGAAAGTTCAAGAAAACTGAGTTCATTGGATTTTACCTGGTGGAGATCCTTAAAAGAGTGTAAATGAAGTGCAAAAGATCCCGTCCATATTTTTTAAAGGGTAAATAAAATGGTAGAATCTGAGATACCTGTTTTCCATTTAAGAAATTTGACCATTACCAGAAAAAGGAGAATGAAGTTAATGGGTTTAGTAAAAGCCTGTTTAACATGGGGGTACGTCTGAGGGGATTATGATAACATAACAGACCAAATTCTAGGAATTTCTTAGAACTGTGCAGACCGTGCATGATGGGATAGCCATCTGGGGGTCTTTGTTGATAAACTGTTAAAAACGTTTCTAGTGTGAATAGCCACAAACATTTTCAGTGCTTTTTTGTTGGTTGAGTAAACCGAAGAGCATGAATGCAAAAGCAAAATTTGATGCCAAATCACAGAAGTTGCCATAAACACAGAAGTTCCCCTAGTGAGGACACTGCCTGTGCCTGAATTTCATTTGTTTCTGCTGCTACCATTTCTTAATTTTTCCTGGTGACTAGCCAGATTAGAACTATGAATGAAGACAAACTGGTCATGCCCAGATGGCAGATGAGATCTAGGTAACTTAGGTAAGTGGAGAAAACATTCAAGGTTTTGATGTGATGATCTGGTCTGATCTGGTGTATCTTAGAATGAAAGAGATGTGCTTATTCTTTGTCATGGGGGTTTGCAACCTTAGTATATGCCTAAATCTACAGCTGCTCCTCATTTTCCAGATGGCATCTATGGCTGGGAGTACTTTTTACCATCTGCACTTCTCAAAGAGTTTGTGAACTCTCTCTTTTAATTATTGGAAATGGAAAAACTAATTGGTAAAGTGGTTAAATGATGTAAAAGATTTTAAGAATTAAGTTAGAACTTTTTATGTTCTGTTTAACCTTTTTAGAAAAGGACCAGTGAAGAGAAAAAGTGAAAAAATGCTTTTTGACTTTCATCTTTGCGTACCCGCCATCTTTGATATTTGTGATACTCCATAATACTTTGTAATAACTATTTTGTACCTTGACTGGTATTTTGAGCCAAATTCCAAAACTCTTACCTCCTTCCAATACTGTACTGTTTTCGACATGTGCATGGAGCAGCTAACACTGAATGAATGCAGAATACAACTTAAGTGAATTGTTCCATTCATCAATAATGTTTTCAAGTAGGTAAGGTATAGTGTCAGGATTTGTCAAAGTAATTGAGGAAAAGAAACTTTTTTATGTGTTGTCTTTGTTTCTATATATATAAATTGTTGGGATAGCGGGGAAGCAATTTCCCACTTAGGTAATACTTTTTTAACTAGCTGAGAATAATAGGAGTGACATCTGACTCTGAAAATGAACATACTCTCTATCTAGGGAATTCTAGATTTGGAGTGTTATTAACTTTTATTTTTCCTTCTTTCAGTTTTATGAGTCATAAATGTATTTTCTTGATGATGTGTTGTAAATAAGTATCCTCTAATAATCACTAGATACAGTACTTATTCACCATCTTTTCTCTTTAGGCAGGTTCTACTGGGGAAAATTCTCTAGATAGTTTGTCCATTTATAAAATTAGACACTTGCCATCTTTGCTCATTTTCAAGTTCTCTGTTTACAAAACTATTAAGAAGGTGTGAAATGCAGCCAAACTTCCCAGTTTATGGGAAATGTCTGATGATTGCATTTCCTACATGTTCATTGTTCACACATGAAGAAATTTGGCAGCTGCAAGATTATTAAGTTTAGAGTATCCAAATCTAACCCTCACTGGGATTTTGGTTTCCTGCTTTCTACCCCCACCATCTCACCCTCTTTTGTAACCATCTTTGTGGTAAGTGCTGTGGTGTTATTTCTTAAGGTTGGTGACCCTTCAGTTTTCTTTGTTTTCCGTTTATCAGGCACTAAAGACAAGGAGTTCACCTGATACAGAGTCCTGGCTTCATTCAGACAGAAACATACCCAAACTCTTAAGGAGGTTCCTTCTCAATAAAGAGGTTTTATGGTGGTGCTGTTGTTGAGAGAGGGTGACAGTGATGGTAGCTAATCTAAATTCTGTAATTTTTCATAATTACTTGCTAGAAAATTTGTGGTCATGCACCTAAGTGTTTGTAGCTAACTGATAATACTAGAAAATGGTTTATGTATATTTTGGTTGATTTCATTTTTACTTGATTTGGATTTTAATTCAAGTACGTTTTTCATGCTGAAAACTTCACATTACTCTGTTTCTTCATGATTACTAAAGACCAGTCATGGAGAAGTGAGATTTTTTTTCTGAATACAGGTACTACTTTTAGAGATTTTAAATGTGTAGAGTTGTGAAGGGAGAAAACTATATGATTTGTTAAGTGGATCAAAAGTGAGCAGCTCCTTGGGGCGTCTGGATGACTCAGTCTGTTGAGCATCCAACTTCAGGTCATGATCTCACCGTTCATGAGTTCAAGCCCCACATCGGGCTCTGTGCTGACAGCTCAGAGCCTGGAGCCTGCTTCGGATTCTGTGTCTTCCTCTCTCTCTGCCCCTCTCTCTCTCACGTTCTGTGTCTCCTGTCTCTCTGACTCTCTCTCTCTCTCTGTCTCTCTCTCAAAAATAAATAAATAAATAAACCTTAAAAAAAAGCCAGAAGCTCCTTTGATCTGAAGAGATACTGGTAGTTAAATAGATACTGGGTATATAAAGATTCAGTTGACAAGAAAAAGGAGACAAAGAAATGGGAAGTTGGGGCAGAGGTGTGACGGGAGTAGGAAAAGGGAAAGAACACAGAATAGGACTAGTTAGCATCATGGTGCCATAAACAGCTGCCTCGGGGGCTTCTGTCCTCCGGTTTAGCCATCCCTCAAAGAATTCTGTGACAGCGTCCAGAGAGTTAATACTATCATTTGGTGGTCCAGTTTAACATATTCAGTTTCTTTTACATATTTCTTAAGTCTGTTTTCAAAATGATGGTGGTAGTCGTTTTTACTACAATTGAAGGTTATTCTAAAGAGTAGCAAAATCACGTTTTTGTTTAATAAGTCACTTGAATCAAAGATTCTGTGAATGAAAATTATGGTCACCATTGTCTTTGAATATTCTACAGTGGGAAAAGTAAATTTAGAATTTGAAACTCTGTCCTTTGTGTTTCGTTCACAGGCTGTAGAAGAAGAAGATAAGATGACACCTGAACAGCTGGCAATAAAGAATGTTGGCAAGCAGGTGAGGTATACCGTAATAGGTTATGCAGTCGCATAATAACATGCTCTTGTAGAGTTAAAACTGTTTTAGGGCCTGCATGATTTTTTTTCCTGTCTGTTCACTCTACGTTTTTCTTCTGTCATGTAAATACGATGCTAATTTTAAAGGTCACTGAATTACTTGATGTCAAATTCTCTTTGCCATATATAGTGAAGTCACAAATATACATACCTGTGAGATACTATCTTTAGTGAAAATAATTTACTAGAAATAAATTAGGAAACTTAGGTCCTGAGTTATATTAATTTTTCAAGCATTATTTTTACTGGAAATAACATCATCAGTGAATAATAGAATGGTAGATTTATTTCATATGTAACAGTTTTTTAAATGATACAGTTTGTCAATTTCTAGGTTTCAATATGTAGGTAATGTTCCTGAGAAGGCTTAGAGCCCCATTGGAGTATAGTGAGTGAAGAAGGGTTTTAAGTATTTGCTCTTTCACTTTTCCAAGATGAAATCTATATTTTAGTTCCTAGTTTCTGAGGGTTGGGGGAACACACCAACCAATTAAAAGAATCTACAGATTAATTAAACTGTTTTTTAAAGAATGTTGATTACATTTTTTTTCATTTCATGGAACATGGTTATCATATTGCTGATGTTGGCAGAATCTTGATATTTCAGATGCAAGACACTAAGCTGTCTTTGCTTTCAGCCATCCTACCATATGCTCTGATCCCATCACATCTCACAAGCTATGTAGGTTTGGGCCAGGACCATTCTTGGATGGGAAATCTCTAAGAATCACCCAGCTGCCACAAGAAGTAATGTAGATAACTGAGGGAAGTGTGTTACCAATTCACTACAAAACCAGTTACTCCAACAAAGCAGGAGGGGCAAAGGTCTGACTTAAATATCATAATCAGGGAAATTAAATCTCAACTGCAGTCTGCATATTATAATTTAAAAACAACAAGAACTCTCCCAAAACAAAATGAAGTATAGTTCATCTTAATCTCTCATCCTGTGTGATACAGTTACTCTCGTTGTCTTTTCCCACTATTTATTGTAGTCTCATATTTATTATTAGATCACCGGCTTGGAGCCTTACCCTTTAGAGAATTTAGGATTTTTTGACTAAATGAATCTGAAGCTACGATGGAGATTGTGGTAACAGTTAGCAACAAGTAAAAGGTCTAAATTAAAGGCAAAGCTGAAAAATATGTAATGGGCAAAGTTGAATAATGATCAGAATCATTTTTCAAAATACAGCATTTCACTGCTTTAACCTATCGCATGGCAAAAGCAAACCTGTCTAGAATGGAATCAGATCACTATCTTTTTCTCCTCCCGGGCTTTCAAAAAGTCACTTTCACTAAAATGTCCTAAGGTGTATTTCTGAAATAAAGAAAATTTAATATGTGGTCTAGTTACTTAAAATTATTTGTATAATGTTGCATCCCTGGGTTTGTTTAAGGAAATCAAGCATATATTGAAATTGTAATTTAGGAAAGAACAGCCAAGAAATAATTCCAGTGATGAACATTTGTTTAAAGTTAGGAGTCTTGGGTATTTTAGCAATACCCAAACGAAAATAATGCTTTAATTGAGAGTTTTTTTAATGTGTGCAATATATATATGTATATACACACACACACACACACACACACACACACACACATATATTATTTTAAAGCTTTCATATTTAGCTGATAGATTTCATTCAGCTCAGCCTTAGACATGAATATAAATTAAGCATTTTAATTTGACTTCATTTATTATAATGTTATTTTAAGCCTCATTTTTAACTAAGACATTTTATATATGGATTTAATTAGGTTTCAGTTAAAAGACTATACCTATATACTTTTACTATGATAGTTTTTTTCTCAAAATAAGTGTATAAAATATATATTCTTAACAATGTAGAATTGATCCAAATTGCATTTAAATGTTTAAACAACTAACATTGACTTTTGATCCAAGAATATTTCCTGAATCATTTAAAGCACCTTTCCTGAAATACTAAAAATTATACATGAATTAAATTTAAATTAAAATTACAGAGGAAGTAATGAGAATTCACATTCAACTCTTACCTATTGGTATGTCTGCTTTGAGTAAAGAGCCCACTCGGTCAATAAATATGAAAGACACAAAATACGCACACATACTTGGGCTTATGCACACATATAAATGCTTAAACTTTGTTTTTTAAAAAATCAGATGCTGCGGCTTTATAGAATTCCTTGTTACTCTTTGTAATTTCTGGTACAGAGTCATAGCATCAATTGTGTAAATCAGTCTTTCGGGGTAAATCTTATTATTTTATCAGGTACTTAATTTTTAATTAATTTAGAAATCCTAAGAATGTAGCGATATATTAGGAAAGTTAAATTGTACATATATATATAAATTTAGGTTTGGCTTTCTTTACCAGTTTCATCAGCTACTTTAAGTAACTGTTCTATCAGTAACATCGTTCTTTTTTCTTTTTCTTTCCCCATTTTTTTTTATTTAGGATCCCAAACGTCATTTGGAGGAACATGTGGATGTACTTATGACTTCAAATATCGTCCAGTGTTTAGCAGCTATGTTGGATACTGTCGTATTTAAATAAAACAATGCAAAAGGCTATTAGTGATACTTTTCAGCGTATATTCCTCTGTTGTTCCTAATGCTCAAAATCAAGGGACCTCTGAAGGTGTGTTTGGTTCAATGTAAGACATCTGGCATCATTTGCAGCACTGTAACACCTTCAGTCTCAGTTGTGCAATTACTTCTGTTTCTTTGGTCAGGGTCTTTGCAGATTCCAAAGTTGTATAAGAATACATCAAAGTGGACAAATTTTGTTAAGATCCCATTTAATATTTGAAGAAAACAGTAACACAAATATATTTTGATTGTTGCTTACAAAATAAAATACATTTACAATCTATGTCTCCTGAGGTTTTTTGGCACTGGGTGGAATTGACAGAGTAACATTTGACAGTGCTCTAGAAATCTCACACAAAGATATGTTTCTCTTTGCAATTTAAGATCTTATAATACATAAAACATCAATGTGATAACAAAACTTGACAAATGTAAAATGATTGCCATTAAGGAGTTGCTGCCCCATTAGTGAGTAACCCAGGAAAAAATGTTGACATGTTTTATTTGAAGTATCTGTCACAAATTAATATTGTATATTCAGTTTCTTAATGTATTATACTTTTCAGGGTTCCAGAGGAGTACATTTAAGAAAAAGGTGACAATGTTAATTTAGACTTTTTCATTTTCTTAAAGAGTACATTCTACCAACAGTGTTGAGATTATTTGGGAGTGGCCGGCTGCGACTCCCATTAGACTTTTAGCTAAGACAGCAATAGAAGGTATATAATCTTGAAAGCAAAATGAGAAAAGTCACCATAATGTGAGTTTAATATGAACACATAAATAATTCTGCTTTCTCTCATCTTTTCCAAATTAAAAATACTCAGTTTTCTGGTAAAGACAAAAATTTGACTAATGGCAGGTTTTGTAGATGACCTTACCCCTCAACCTGTTCCTAACCTAATTTACATAAATAACTGCCCCATTAATCCTCATGGCACAGCACCATACTGGGTACACCAAGGAGTATGGGAAAACATATGAGACAGATTTCATTCTTGTCTGTACCCTTTGTGAAAATATGGTAAAAATGTTTGTTTCTGAGGCTTCATTAAAAAGAGGGTTTTACTTGGGGGCTTGGAATTTAGACTTAACCTCTACTAGAAGTGGTAGGAATGACGTGGTAGACCACATTACTGTCCTACTTGAACAATTCTAGGCTCTTATTGGTTGCCTAATGAACAGTTACCAGAAACTAAAAGTAGAAATGGCTTAAATTCCCACTGTGTTTCATAGACTTTTTTGGTGGAGTAAGAGGTATTCTGAGCATTTGCTTGTCCTGTGGCTTTTTCTTTTACATACAGTATGTTTTATGTAGGACATGTAACATGTATTAATAATTGTTGAAATTACAACAGCTAACCATTTACAATTAAAATATAAGTGGAAGTTAGCAGAAGTTTTCCTTTTGCCTAATTTAATCTTGTGTGCAGACTTTTTGGATACATGGTTTTTCCCTTTACATAAATAGGGTTCTATCTATGATTTGTTTCGCAGATACTGTTCATTAGAGCTAGTCAGGATTTTTTTTTTCCATACAGTATGTATGCCCCTAGAAGAAGGCCTCAATAATTCAAGGGCTATTCTCAACATTCCATTTGAAAATAGTTTTTTGTTTTTCATTTTACTCTCCTGAAAATGTCTCCTGAGAAGGTTTACACAGTGCCTGCCTTTTGCTCTCATTTGATCACCTCACCTTGGACTTCCCACGGCCAGTACCACTTTCTTCTACTTGGTTCATGTTAGAGACATTCCCAATTTCAAAACCTTATCAGATCCCTCCTAGCAAAACCCTGCATTTTCTTTGGAGATTTGGAATGGATCGAAATGAGGATGCCCTGAGTCTCAATGAACACTTTTGTCCTGGAATGTGCAGCTATTTCAGCAGCAGCCTGGTGGCTCAGGTCCAGTTAGGCATTGAAACGACTTATTTAATCACAGGCTCAATAAGGTGTGTGTGTGTGTGTGTGTGTGTGTGCGTGTGTGTGTGTGTGCTTATGTGAGCATCTTTGCCCATCTATTATGCAGTGTTAAAGCAGCACAAGAACCCAAACTGCTTGCCTCTAGCATTGAGCTGTCCCTGTTTTCCTCTCAGACTGACATGGGGACATTGGAAGCTCCAGCCTCAACAATTCAGTGATCTTCCTGGACCAGGAGCCCCTGGGTCTTCTGGGAGCTCATTGTATATACAGAATATACATTATAAATACAGACCTGAATCAAGAATCCTGGCATGGTTCGTATGCACTTTCAAGTCTGCACATACTTGCTGCACACAAGTATGGCTCAAGAGCAGGTGTGCTGATTTTGAAGAAAGTCTAGAGTTTTCCTTTTTGAACATATGTAAGTTCAAGGCATAGCCTGTAGTGAGGAATCACTGAATTTAGTACTGATAAAGTCAGAATGTACATTAATCTCCTATTCCAGTTCCTTAAAAAAACTGAGGAATTTATCCCTTTTCTATCCCTCTTCTATACTTTAACATTTCATCATTCTCCATTCTTTAAAAAAGAAAAAGCCAAGTCAGGGTGCTGGGAATGAGCCCAAAAGGAATGAGCCTCGCTCGAAAGGAGCCCAGGTGCAGTCTCGCCTTTTTGCTACATACTTAAGGCTTTGTACCCCACTGAAAAAGGAGGGGGGTAATCTTGGAAGCAGTGGACAGAGAGGCGCTCAGGGACAAAGAAGTTAATGATCAAAGAAACGAGAAAAACCAGAGTAACCAAAATTGGGCAAAAACCTCGGGGAGAAATGGTGGTGGAAGGTAAAGGGAAGGGCAGAAAAACCAAGTGTCAAAAAGTGTCATAGCCACTGTCTCCTCCCCCGCAACTCGATGCCTCAACACCAAGGCCCTGCTTGTTTATGAAGCTTCATGGCCAGGAGCTGAGATTTGCTTCCGAAAGGGAAAAAAAAAAAAAAAAAAAAAAAAAAAAAAAAAAAAAATGGGTCTGGCTGTATTTTTCTATCAGAAAGCTGTCTCGGCTTGAGTCTGGGACATCTGGTCATCAACTTGTCCAGCCCAGGGCCGTCCGCCCTGGGCCTTGCTCGCGGCGCCCTGCTGGAGGCCACAGCTGGTGCCCTCTGCAGCCAAGGCGCCCAGCCCGCCTCGGGGTCTCGGGCTGGGCTCCGCGCTGACCGCTCGGCCCACCGAGGCAGCGCTCTAAAATCGCGCCCGCCTAGGCGGAAGTCGGGTCTGGTTAACCCCTCTCTGCCCAAGTCCGGGACCCACCCAGTGTCCTCAGCGCCGCTCTCCATCAGGGAAGTGCCGAGGCCCGAGGAGGGCTGACGCGCTTCTCGAAGACTTCGGCTGCACGGGTCGGAGGTGCCGGGGCCGTGCCTCCGGCACTGGAAGAGTGTGCGCCCCAGGCGTCCGCGCCACGCGCGGCTCTCCCCACGCTCCCCTGCGTCTCCCGGGCGGCGGCTCCCCCTCGGGGCCGCCGGGGAGCTGGGCAGCCTACGCTCAGGCCGCTCGGGGACGTTAGACAATGCACCAAAGCCGGGTGGGCCGCCGGGCTCGGGGATGGCCGCTCAGGCTGCCAGCCCTAGCGGTGCTCGGCGCGGGGCCCGCCCGCCCGTCCGCCAGCCCGCGGGGCCGAGCTCAGCTCCCGCCGCGCGCCTCCTCCTTCTTCCCGCGCGGCTCCGCGCCCCGTGGAAAGCCTCAGGAGGGCAGGCTGGCGGGTGCCGGGCCACGGGAAGCAACTTGGGCCGGGTAAAGCCGCTGCTGCTCTTGGCCCTCTGGTCCGGGCGCAGGGCTGGGTTCCTCTGGAGAGCCAGTGCTGGGAGATTTCTTCCGACATCCCAGGGTCGCTTTGGGCCTCGTGCTATTCATTCGTGCCAACATCCTTTTAAATTGGTTATTTTCTCTATTCCTCCGTAAGTTCTTCCTCATTTTAAACTTACTGGCATGTTTCTTTTTTCCCTCTCCCCTTCAGATTATATAAACATTGCACACACACACACACACACACACACACACACACACACACACACACGACCAGTTTTCAGCATCGATCACTGCGTTGACACCACTTCCACTCTGTCTCCCCAGATCAGCGCTTCCAGCGAACCCATTTGCGCGAGGACTCGGCCCTCTCTGTTCCTGGCGAGGCTTTTGAACCTTGTCGCCAAGCCAGTACCTCAGAGAGAAGGAAGTGCAGTGGGACGCGCGTGCATGGCGCCTGCCCCCAGTTAGATGCTCTTCAGATAATCTGCAACCAAGCTCGCTGATAAAATATTTAGTAAAGACCTCGTAAACATCACTGCAAATACATTAAGGCACTTCAGCCCGACAGCTTATGATTATTTCAAAACTTAAAAAGGTGATCATAGATTGTCACTGTTTCTGTGCTCGAGCAAGAAACCGAACCTTCCCGAGGTGGGTGGATGGGTGGGTGAGTGGCTGCTTTTCGCCCCCACTTCTCCCCCTCCCCCTCACTTTCATGGCTGTGGCTCTCAGCGGCAGTGATTTATTTATTTATGTGTGTAGTTAAAAAGGTGTGCAGGAGGGGGGGCGGTTCGTCTAGGACACGCAGGACCTTCTCACAAAGGACTGGCTCAGGTGTTATGTGCTTCTGTATTAACTGGAAAAGACAGACTCTGGAACTTTTACAGGGCGAGAAGAGGCCACCGGCTCGCGCTTTGTATACTTTGCACTTGAAATCGTTACATTCAACTGAATATTTGGCTCATTCAGATCCGAAAAGTCTCCTAGCATCATCGAATTCCCTCCTCCGCCCCTCAGCTGAAAGGAGGGAGGTGGGGGGGGAAGGTAGGAAAATGTTTAGTAAATTGCACATCTTTGAATCTTCCTAAAGCAGTGGTCACAAAGCTTAAAGGTGACACAACAGTGCTCACGTAAAGCCAACACACATTCCCCACCCCCCAAGCCAACAATAAAATCATCCCCTTCAATTTGCCATGATCGTCGCGACCAGGAGCCAGGTGATTATCCTAATTAATGTCTATCTAATTAAATTACTGTCAGCAGTTAACCAATGGCAGGAGCCGTTTCATCGGCTGCACAAGCAGCAAGATCAAAAGTGAGCCTTTTCTGATTGCTGCATAGTGTCAATTGGCCAATCTCTTCTCCCAGGGAAAAAAAAAAGTAAATCAAACCTTTGAGAAGCATTTGCTGGTTGAAGTGCTTTCTGTCTAGTGAGGGGGTCTGTGGATTTCTAGTTTATGATAAATAGGACTTTAAAAACCAGGGACAGGAGGGCGAGTGTTCAGGTTCTAGAGCTATGCAGCTGGAGCACTGCCTTTCTCCTTCTATCATGCTCTCCAAGAAATTTCTCAATGTGAGCAGCAGCTACCCACATTCAGGCGGATCTGAGCTTGTCTTGCACGATCATCCCATTATCTCGACCACTGACAACCTGGAGAGAAGTTCACCTTTGAAAAAAATTACCAGGGGGATGACGAATCAGTCAGATACAGACAATTTTCCTGACTCCAAGGACTCACCAGGGGACGTCCAGAGAAGTAAACTCTCTCCTGTCTTGGACGGGGTCTCTGAGCTTCGTCACAGTTTCGATGGCTCTGCTGCAGATCGCTACCTCCTCTCTCAGTCCAGCCAGCCACAGTCTGCGGCCACTGCTCCCAGTGCCATGTTCCCGTACCCCGGCCAGCACGGACCGGCGCACCCCGCCTTCTCCATCGGCAGCCCCAGCCGCTACATGGCCCACCACCCGGTCATCACCAACGGAGCCTACAACAGCCTCCTGTCCAACTCCTCACCGCAGGGCTACCCCGCGGCCGGCTACCCCTACCCACAGCAGTACAGCCACTCCTACCAAGGAGCCCCTTTCTACCAGTTCTCTTCCACACAGCCCGGACTGGTACCCGGCAAAGCTCAGGTGTACCTGTGCAACAGGCCCCTCTGGCTGAAATTTCACCGCCACCAAACGGAGATGATCATCACCAAACAAGGAAGGTAATGCTACATTCTTGGCAGTCGCTGTTCCGGGCACGGCCCGGGGGCAAGTGCGCCGGGTTGTGACCGCGCCGGTAGCGATGATTTGGGGTCGGGA